AATAGCTCTGAGAACGATTTGATCTCATAGCGAGGAATTTCTTTTTTGAAGCGGATATTGAGGAGTCCGTATACGAAATCCAGTTCCTCTTCTTCCTTGTGCCTTTTTGCTGGAAGATGCGATAGCAAGGCACGTTTGTCACAAACGAATGCATCAATAGTTTCGTTTGTTTGCTTCTTCGCAAACAATTCCAGATAAACTTCATGCGGTTGCATTTTTGGGGCAAATGCACTTCTGATCGCGTCTAAAGCTGGATTCCACTTTTTTATCTCACCTTTGACGCCACTCCACCACGTAGCTGCTTGTCCTGTTAGTAACAACGTTAATCCTTCGAGAGCGTCTTCGTCGGTGATTTTTTCAATTTTCTTGTAGATAGTAATATTTGTGATAAATTCTTCTACTTTATTATGATTTCTTTCTCCGTCGTACCTTTTTGTGCAACGAGCGAAACTGCTTTTGTGTTGGCTACCTTCGTTTGTAATTGACAACTTGTTAATGAGTGTCGTGAATTGCTCCTGCGTCATAACCATCAGTTCAGGTTTTTCTTCTGACATTTTGTGTGGGTAGATTACAATTCTTCCAAATCCAATTTATTGAGGGTAGATCCTTGGTAGATTTTTTTTTGCCGTTGGGCGCCAATATGATGTTGCCAGATGAATTAAAATAACTGATGTCTGAGTAAACAGGAACTTTATTCGTTCATGTAACAAATTATACAAAACACACGGATACGTAGATATTAAGGTAAACGTACAATTCCTAAGGGTGGTTCTTGGAACGGGCTGCGGGGCTACCGCGTTCCTTAACCTCCTAGCTGATGCTTTTTCTGAGGGCTGCGGGGCTACCGCTCAGATCAAACTTGGGCAGACGAGTGGACTGCGGGGCTATCGCACTCGTTGCCGTCTAGCTATCGAATCTCATAACTGGCGCGCAGCGGCCTCTTAAATAGCGATCGTTGACGTCGTAGTGGGGTGGCGATGCGTAGATCACTCGTGGTTACCGTTGTGTGAGTGAGCGCGTCACAGTGCAGCGTTGTAGGTAAAATGTAGCATTGCTATAGTATTTAAAATACTAAATATCGCTACATCGTATCGAATTATGCGAAATACATTATAAAGGTTGCAGTGCTTAAAATTGCTACAATAGGTTTGTTGTGTATTGAAACTTCAGAGTACCGTTGACAACTGTTTATTAATTACTGTCAATATACCCTCAACATCTTCCCCTTTTACAATATAAGTGTGTTACAAGATAAACATAAAATCAGAGGTTAATTATTATTAATTGCATTCTGCTTAGTTCTACTACGAGTAGTAGGCGGATAAATATGAGGTGATGAAGGTGATGACAAAGTACTCGGTTCGTACACTGAACCATCCTCATCCACACTCATCTCATATTCTCCCCCACTTGACTCGTCTGATACGATCACTATTGTGCCGCGCCGATCATTCTTCAGCTTTTCCACAACATTAGGTTTCTCATCAGGCATATTTTTAATTAAATGTCGGCGATTACGTCGATATATACCTAATTTGTTTTTTACAATGTATGAACGCGGTGCAGATGCCTTGCCTACGACAGTGCCGCGCATTCGTTCATTATTATGTTCTAACATAATTACATCATCGCCGACACTTAGCTCCGGCTGCTCTTTACAATGTTGGTCATAATACATTTTACTTTTTAATTGTTTTTCTATTATTGTTTTATGCTGTTGCTGATCATTACAATTATAACGTTTTAACAAATCTGGATGAACTGGTAATCTACAATTTAATCTCCGTCCCATTAACAGTTGTGCGGGAGAATTCAAATTTTCTCGCGGCGTGTTATTATAGCTCAATAGATTCAAATAAAAATCTGTTCTACTGTCTATTGATTTTTTTAACATTTTCTTTATAGTTTGTACTGACCTCTCACTCTTGCCGTTTGATTGTGCGTAATACGGTGATGAAGTAATATGATTGAAGCCCCACTCTTCTGCGAACTTTTTAAAATTTCGAGAAGAATATTGGGGACCGTTATCGCTAACAACCGTTTCCGGAATGCCATAGCGAGCAAAGTTCTGTTTTAATTCTTTTATAACAGAGTTTGACGACGTATCTCTTAACTGTGAGACTTCAATAAATCCCGAATAGTAATCCACTAAAATCAAGTAATGTTTTTTTCCGTACTCGAATAGATCGGTACCAACTTTGTTCCATGGCAGTTTCGGAACAGTTATCGGAATCATGGGCTCTTTACTTGGTTTATTTGAATTCTCCTGACAAACCTTACATTTTTTAATATATGATTCTATGTCATTCGATATACCCGGCCAGAACAGTACCTCACGTGCGCGTCTTTTACAACGATCTATCCCTAGGTGGCCGTCATGAATTATTTTTAACATTTCAGTTTTAAGCGAGTTAGGTATCAATACCTGTTTATCTTTAAAAATTACTCCGTCAACAGAGTACAGCTCGTCTCTCATGGACCAAAAATACTTTAAATCACTATCAACATTATATTTATGAACGGGCCAACCTTCATTAATGTAAACTAACAAACGTTTCAAATACTCATCTTTACTAGTTTCTTTCTTAACTAATGTCAGTTTGCTTTGAGACATCGGTACATTGTTAATTACCATTTTCAATTGGTTCAATACTGCCTTACTAATTTTATCGTCATATAAATCCGGAAGAGGCGCACGTGATAACGTGTCGGGTATATACATATACTTCCCCGGTTTATAAGTAATTTTCAGATCGTACCCTTGTAATTTTAACATCATACGCTGCAAGCGTGCTGGGACTGAATTGAGCGGCTTTTTAAAAATACTTTCAAGAGGTTTATGGTCAGTTTCTATGACTATATACCTTTTTCCATAAATGTACTGGTGAAATTTTTCACAAGCAAAGACAATAGCTAACATTTCTTTTTCAATCTGAGCGTATCTCTGTTGTGTGTCGGTGAGTGTGCGCGACGCGTACTCGACCGGGCGGCCGCGCTGCATCAGCACCGCGCCAAGTGCGACGCTGCTCGCGTCCACCGACAACAATACCTCACTGCCTACGTCAAACAACGATAATACCGGAGCCTCGCATATCAGTTTCTTTAATTTATCAAAGGCGTTTTTGTGACCTATTTCCCAACACCACTCGACATCTTTTTTCAATAATCTAGTCAATGGAAATATGTGTTGCGAGTAGTTAGGTATAAACTTTGATAAATAATTAATTGCACCCAAGAACCTTTCTAAACTTTTACAATCCGTAGGTTCCGGCATATTGATTACAGCCCGCACTTTTTCCGTATCTACTTTCATTCCGTCTTTATTAAAAATATGTCCCAAATATGTCACCTCATCGACACAAATGCGACACTTATCTTTGTTAAACTTTAAATTAATATCTCGCGCTTTTTGAAATAACGCATTTAGTCTTACATCATGTTCTCGCCTAGTGGACCCCCAGACAATAATATCATCAATAAACGACTCAACACCGTCTAAACCTTCTAACAATTGTTTTAATTTAGCGTGGAATACCTCCGGTGCGCAGTTCAGTCCGAACGGTAATCTTAGATATTGATATCGCCCAAACGGCGTAATAAATGTGCATAAATCGGCACTCTCCTTATCTAGCTTTACGGACCAAAATCCTGAATTGGCGTCCAATACCGAAAAATATTTAGCCCCATTCAATTTGGTAGCCAACTCATTTATGGTGGGTAGTTGAAAATGAGCACGTTGAATCGCCTTATTGAGAGGCCTCGGGTCTAGGCATATGCGCATTTTACCATTTGTCTTGGCCACTACTACTAACGAGTTGACCCAAGGTGTCGGATGAGTCACCTTCCTAATCACACCTAACTCTGTCATCCTATCGAGTTCGTCCTTCAAGTTATCACGAAGGCTTAACGGTACTTTCCGCGGAGCGCACACCACCGGCGTCACATCCCTATCTACCGTTATATGATATTCCCCCGGTAAACAACCTAACCCAGTGAACAAATCACTATTTTTAGAGAAATTTATATCGTGAATTCTTTTTATTAACCCTAATAATAAGCACGCCTGCAGTCCCAGTACACTTTGACAATCAATATCAGCTATCGCAAACTTAAGATCATATTGAACATTTTTATACCACCATTTAATATTACAAATTCCCTTAATAGGAATGAAATCGCCACTGTAAGATTGCAGTTTAACCTTATGATTTACAACAATGTTATTAGGGTTATTGCCTAACTGCACAAATCGCTTAAAAGATAAGACATTGATATCTGCACCCGAGTCTAGTTTAAAATTTTCCGAGCCCCATTCTCCTCGGAGGACCTCAAACCAATCCTGCGACACCGAGTCGATTTTGGAACCATCAATTAAAGTAGATATATAAAACGACTCCCAATCATCGTCCAGTTCCGGCTCGTATTTATTTTCGTCCTCTAGAACACCGATATCATATAACTTTTTTACACCTTTATGTACTTGACACATTCTTGCAAAATGTCCATAATTTTGACACACATAACACTGCACTGAGACCGCAGGACAGTCAGCCCAAGTAACACACGGACCTCCGCACCTGAGACAAGTACTGGACGCAGATGCACTGGAAAGAGGCGGCGGGCGCCTCGCGCCATCCGGGACCGCACGCAGCCGGTGACCGCCGCGGCCGCCGCGAGCTGCTCGCGCGCCGCCGGCTCGGCCCCGCGTTCGCCCAGCACCACCCCGCGCGCCCACAGCGTCCACGCGCACCGGCCCCGCGCTCGCTCCGCGCGACTCCTGCAATACGCGACTGCTGTCCGCCGATACCTCGTCGACTTGGCATATTTTAATAGCTTTGTCCATCGTTAGGTCGTCCGTTCTCAGTAAACGATCGCGAACTATCGTATTTTTTATGCCGCATACGATCCGATCGCGAATGAATTCCTCTTCTAAGGTTTTAAATTCACAGGTTTTGCTCAGCAGTTTCAAAGCCGTCACATACTGATCTATGGACTCGCCGCCTTCCTGGTTTCTCATGTAGAAATTATATCTCGCCAACGTAACATTCGGTTTGACGCCGAAGTATTCGTCGAATTTTTTTAACAAAACCGTTACGTCATCTTTTTCAGTGTCATTTGAAAACTTAAACGTCTCGTACACATCGAAACCTTCCGTTCCAATTAAATTGATGAGCAAGCTGGCTTGCACACTGCCTTCTTCTTTATGCACCCCTGATGCTTTCAAAAATAGATGAAATTGTTTCCTCCAACGCTTCCATGCGTCAGCCCGGCTGACGGAGTTGCCTTCCAGACTCAATTCTGACGGTGGTCGGGCGTGTTCCATTACGAAAAAACAAAATTCGTATCTATTACGACACTTAAACGCGAAATAATGCACTTAAATATTATTTTAAACAATTTTTACGATTAAAAAATCACCGCTATCACCATGTTGTGTATTGAAACTTCAGAGTACCGTTGACAACTGTTTATTAATTACTGTCAATATACCCTCAACANACTCAATTCTGACGGTGGTCGGGCGTGTTCCATTACGAAAAAACAAAATTCGTATTTATTACGACACTTAAACGCGAAATAATGCACTTAAATATTATTTTAAACAGTTTTTACGATTAAAAAATCACCGCTGTCACCATGTTGTGTATTGAAACTTCAGAGTACCGTTGACAACTGTTTATTAATTACTGTCAATATACCCTCAACAGGTTAGGTTCATGACAAAATCAAAAGGTCTTAACGTAATGTTTACAAAAAAAGTGCTTTTAAATTAAGCACAATTTATGCTAACCAATAGAATCTAACATAAATAAGTTTAATAACAATTACAGTTTAATTACAATTAAACTTATTTATGTTGGATTATATTATAACAAAATTGGATGAAGTACTTAATGCAATTGTAAATTAGAGAGTAGGGGAGTCATGTTTCAAATAGTATTGAAGCTTAAAGTTTATATCTCAAAGTTGAAATATAGTGTCTAGAGAGTTAGGATTAAAATAGTTTCGGATCATCCAAATTTAAAAAAAGGATTTAATTTCTCTGTATCCTTAACTACTTGGAAAAACATTCTTAGCAGCACTTTTATACCCAAGCCTGTTGCGTTCCTGTTGTTTAACGTAATTATTGACATTAAAGCTCATAAGAACAATTTGCAGTCTTTCAATTCCTGAGAAAACTGGTTTGATATGCTCGGATGTCGACGTCAATTAAAAATAATTGTACAAAATTGATTTCCAACACAAATATATAACACAAGTATATAAAATTAGTAAGCTGTAACCTACCATTGACTCACTAGCCATGTCTTGACGCATCCAATTGATCACCCTCAATTCTATCGAACGCTTTTAATCTTAACGCTAGCAGTACTTTCTGAACTTATCAAAGAGTTTGACGTAACACTAAGCTTATAGCATTAGCCCGCTAAGTTTCTCGTCGAATCTTCGCAGCGGTTTCCGTCTTCCTAGCTGATCTTCTCAGCGGTCCGAGATGTACTAGCAAAGCAGCTAACATTGAACTGTTAAACCTCTTGTGAGCACTCGAGCTGTTGTTAGCTAATCCCACACATCGTAGAAGAACCCAAGCTCGCCAGTCTGGTGAAGCTAGAGATATTCAACGGTAATCCATCCATGCCAAGTTGTGGAAGTCCGAAGATAATTGAGTATTCAGTTCTTTGATAAACAAATAAATAAATTATTTGTAGTTAGATGCTCGAAAATATTAGGTTTCAAATTGAAATGTTAAATATTTAGTATTAAAACTTTACTCTGGTTTCAACTTAATTTGATGTTGAATTTAGTAACAAAAATCACTATTACATTAAGAATGAAGTTGGTTTTCGTAAACACGGAGATACTGTTGTTCGTTTAAGATAGTTGAGTCCGACATTTATAATAATTATTGTAATATGACCACAGCGGAACGTAGTGGCGCAAATTTAATAAAATAATACCACATTTTTAATAAAAACGATACAAAAAATCCTGTGCGCGGTCATTAGCGAAAGTAGACTACGTTATTTTAGCATCCGTTTCTTTGTTGGCCACTTCTTTTTCTTAATAGACCCTTACGTTTTCGCAATCAGACGTTACGGTTGTTAAACAGGGCACTGTAATTACTATAATATTCCTTTGTCAGTGCCGACTACTACTACAGTAGGAGATTAAAATTTGCGAACACAACTGGGTTTTTATTTTTTTGTTACTTTTGTAGACAGACGAGCAAACAGTCCACTTGATAGCGAATGGCCGCTGGTAAATGTGAGCAATTACTTAATTCGCAGGAAGTTACTCTAATTTAATTTACAAATAATTAATTAGCAGGAACGCAGTCAACGAATCCAAAAAAAACTTTGAATAGCTGTTATGTTTGACACATTACCACTGCTCTTTATACCTGCTAACGACATTACAAGTAGATATCACATTTCTGCCTATTTCTTTCCAAAGCGATCATCCTATGTTACGACTTTAAGTAGTACATTCTAATTTCATCGATTCTGGATACAGAACAACTAACGCGAAATTGATTCAGTAGTGCAAACTATCGAAAACTCATAAAGAATCTCTTTTTGTATAACAAATCAAGATCGACGTCAAACATTTGTGAACAGAAAAAAAATGACGGTTCGCGATCCGGTATTTTATGAAATATATTTTCCGATAGTCAAATTGCTGTATTGGCGCTGCCCACAAATCTTTCCTGATAAATTTTCGTGCGAAATTTCATCACGACAAAAATTCTGTAGTTTCTCGAAACAAAAAGGAAAATTTCAACGTTCATTATATTTAAGCCATGTTCATTTAAGCTGTATGTATGATGAGTTTCACATTTCTAAGTAATCAGAGATTTGCCCACGAATTAATATACTCATAAAACATGTCAATCATTCTAATGAATATTCATTGTTTTGCAACAATTGTCAACATATGATCAGGGAAAGTGAAATAATGATGAATTAACCAAGAAGTTGACACACTTATTAATTTAGGAGAACGTTTCCATGAAATTGAAGAACGAGTATTTTTATAGTACCAACCCAGATCAAAACAAAACTCTTTGTGGTGAACTTAGGTACGCGATAAATCCATTCTCTGAATTACTTACGACAACGAATATGGTGGTTGATGAAATTGCACTCCGAGCTCTACGGAATCCTGATTACACTTGAAGACATTTGTAATCGAATTCCACTCGATCTTACAACTATCTTATGTATATACAGGCTAGTCAAACCTACAAACTGGAACGCAAGACCGCTTTATTGCTGGATTAGTCAGCACTCACGTATAAAAGCGGACTTATTTTTGCCTATCCCTCATTAGCCTCGAACCGCTATACTGACTTCACTAGCTCATGGTGCTCATCATAAGATGGCTTGCTAACACCCAATCTAGCAGTAGCAGTGCTCTCTTGAATCTACCACCGCAGCCCCAGATCGGAATCGCGATCCACTGAAAAAATTACCCTCACAATAAGCACTACCTTCAGTGAAAAAGTACATTAAAACCCCAGTAAAAAGTTAATATAACACGTCCTAACAACAAAACCAACAATCGTAATTGCTTAACTGAATACTAAAATGACAAAATCAATCATGATCGCCTTTTTGATGTAACGAGTTCCCTTAACAGTAAAACTGATCAATTTACTTAACTATAGGATCTTGTTACGCAATTTTATTTGTTACGTGCTCTAGATAGTTGTTGTAAGACTGTGTGTACACTTGAGAGCAATAACGTTGTACTATACACCAAATTATCTATCTTATCATGGCACGTGCATTGTATCTTGAATATTATTTAAATATATATATTTTTAAATTACTGGAAAAAAATCACGCCCTGTCATCTGGCCCCAATTTAGGATTCCCTGTGTCATGGGTACCAGAGACTGAAATACATATTGATAAACATTTAATTATATACTTAGATAGATAATAATATTATACACCCAGACAAAGAGCAAACAAACCTGTTCATGACACAATGTTTGCCCGATGTGGGAATCCCACCCACGACATTCGGTGCAGCAGTGAGGGAGCTACTATTGCACTACCGAGTCAGTTTAATAAATTTACTTAAGTAAAGTTTTGATCTGATGGGTATTTAAAATTTTCAATAATTATCGAAGGTTAAATTGTCGTTGAGAGGATAGGAAACTATAAATCGTGTAGAACAAATGATTTGGCTATACGCTTTGATTAATCATCATAATGCAGATACACGCGACCTCTTAAAATCAGCTATCTAAATGTGGTCATAGCTGCAGTTTTTGAGAAAGAAATATGAGACAGTCGTTGTACAATACAATTCAGACTTCGACCTCAAATCTCAAGATGGGTAACGACATTCAATTTGTGTTTCGTTTCGTATGGGCGTCTTTAACTGCCTAATTGAGTCGGCCATCAGCTCTTTTACTCGTTTATAGAAAAAGTAGGTAAAACTTGACAATTACCACTATTTTGTTTATTTTGCCGAAAAACAAACCGATGCGAGGACTACAACAGCTATTCCACCATCATAGCATTCATGTTCTTCTAAGGACCCTGTAACCAACTAAAATTATGTAGGCCGGCCAAGAGTGTTTATGCACAGAATTAAAACAAAAGAATTTAAAAGTGCTACTACACTACAGTGAGAAGTAGCCCTATGTCAAAAGTGAGAGGCAAGTGTTCTATCGAGCCGCGGTCGCCATTTATTTGTCACGTTCGACTTGACACCACAAGCATTTGTGTACAAAATACTAAGGTTACGTACGTCCTATTGCGAGACGAATAACCTAAAAATTACTGTTTCTAAATACAAATTATTTATAGTCGCTATTACCAAAGACAATTCAAATATTACTCAGAACCTAATTTATCTATGTAATTGAAATGTTTGTCCTGTATACGTTCCTAACTTATTGATGCAATTGTGATACAATTTGTTGTACGAGGGCGGCACTGAAAATTTCGGGAATTAACGAAGTGACACAACATTACTATTTAAAAATGTATTTATTGCTTTTCGAAGTATTCTCCGCGAAATTTGACACATTTTTCCATACGATGGAACCAATCATTGAAGCAACCATTCCATTCGGAAGTTGGGGTCTCCAAAATGGCCGTTTTGTAGGCGTCCACAGCTTCTTCAGGTGATGAAAATCTCTGTCCACGCAATTTATTCTTTATTTTAGGGAAAGTATAGAAATCATTAGGGCTTAGGTCGGGGCTGTACGGCGGATGGTCTAATAATTCTATGTTTTCTTGCTCTAAAAACTCTTTTGTTCTGTGCGCGGTGTGAGAACTCGCATTGTCGTGATGGAGGATGATGCGG